CATATTATAAGGTAAGGTTATAAAACCACCATTTAAGATCATTTTAGTGAAAGTTTCATGTTCCTATCTCATAGAATTTAAGAACAATGATGAATAAATAATTTTCGAGCAAAATTTAAATGGCCGGCTGAATATATTACCGCAGGAGCCGCGGCCGCGGAATTTAAATGACCACGTCAAAGGGTTAATGGACTCTTGAATCATCCCATCTTCTTGTACCAAAGAATTCCAACAACACACCAAGCAGTACAATTGTACACCATGGCAGACTCAGGTGCATTCACTGCAGAATTTGACAGAAATATCAAAGCTTATACATTCTCACCTGCATCTACTTCTGGGCTTGTATCAACATGTGTGGCAGCCCTCTCTAGTCGCTGACAATCAGACAGAAGTTGGCCACCCTGCTGACAGCTTCCCAGACCATCCAGATCTGTAAAGGAAAAAGGTATTATAATCACAATTCGCTTATACAGGACAGCAAATGTATCATTCACATTGAAAATTATTTTTATTAGATTGCTAATCATACACTCTTTTTATCAGAACACCTACAGACACTATTCAAAGAAAACAATTATATTACTAAAAAAGAACATGTAATAAACAGCTAAGAAAGAGCAAAGCAATATCAAGGCAAGGGTTTGCACAATAATGTAAGCATGTGGTAGATACAGGACAGAACATGCAAGTTGTATCATTCCATCAGACAAGAGGGTGTGCAGAGGTAAGGCACATAATTGCAAATAAGCTGGTATGGCTCATTTAGTCCACCTTAACATCTGTACACACACATCTATACATACAGACTGTAGAAGACCTTGTAAATAAGTACTGCACAACGTAATGATGACATAAGGAATCACTCATACAGAAAACTGTGAGACCCTTGTACTTATGGCCACACCACAATTATGTTGCAGACTGTACTGTCTGAAGTACACAGGCACATGCACAAAGTACAGCTGACATAACGAGGCATATTTTTACATGACAGTAATTATTAATGGGGTTCAGATTAGTAACTGAATTTAATGGTCAACGATTACTCTTATCTATAAAATCTATATTTTTCTGGCATTCACAGTCGTCATAGAAATCTGTCATATCAGAGTTTCTTGACTACAGGCTCCAACTATGGACTCTCCCTAATTCATCCCACTGTCGTCAGCTCTAGTGCTGCGTCGGTCAAGTTGGGTAAATTGCTAGTGGCTCTTGCCAGCACAGTTATTCTTCGTTGTTGTTAGAAAATGTCATTTTCAACTGATATGCACATATTCAGTGACACGGGAAGGTGTTTTAATAAACTACGGCATAGCAACAGATGCCTCTGCGACACTTTGGTGATTCCAAGATCCTGCATTTTCGGCATCATGTCACATTACCATTACCACCAAATTAATATATGGCAACAGGCCTGTTAAGGAATATGAAAGCCCCTGTTCCCAGACAATACACACCCCTAGAAAGAGTTAAAATTCAAATGCCTACCCCACAGTAACAGATAATTTAGAACCTCTTGTTCCATGACAATAATGTTTGAGACACTGTTTCACAAATTTGTTGTACTCCCATCTGCGGCTGATCAGCTGTCATTATACTGACAGATATTTAAAGAACACATAAAATGATAATAAGTACAACAGTAGGAAATTAAGAAAGAGCAGAGTAAACTTCCAAAAATTTTGTATATATTGTCACATATATGGAGTGACTACAGATGCGGTTTGGATTCGTAATTGGATTTACTGAACACTTACAGATCATAGCTACAAGTAACTATAGCACTATCGCTAATTTACACACTCTGCAGTTCACTACAGAATGTACTCAGCCTTCTCAGTCTGCTTATCTTCACCAGTTCTGGTAATGGATTCCAGTGGTGGACTTTCCCCTTCCTCTGGGTTCTCACACTGTCCGTGCCTCAGCTACCAGCTTCTAACAGCAACACCTCGTAAGGACTGAGCCCCTGCAGTCCTCTAATTAACTCACTCACTCACCAACCAACTACTCTTCATGTCACTACCTGACTCTCACTAATTGCGCCGCTTATAACATCTTGGGACAGACCGCATACAAAACACCATTCTGCTGTTGCTGTGTCTTTGTTGTGTTTGTGTCTGTTGGAGAGCCCATAATTGTTGCATCACATTGCTGCCATGGAAAAAACTTTTTGCAGAGCCGTTACTTTGCAACAGCTGTTGTAAATTTGCTTATGCCATAGTCGTTGCCTAGCAATGGGTCTAGGTGCCACAGTATTAACCCAGTCACATCTGTAAGTGCCTATATGCAGCATTGTGATGGCCTGTATCATCAGGAGAGCACAAATGTGTGAAGGGTAGGCTCACTTATCTTAATGCTTCATCAAACTGAAATCGCTATCTCTGCTCTACCATTGCCTCCTATAATACATACACATTCCATATTGACAGATCACAGAGAAATTTCTAACCAGTATCAGTACATATTGCAGTTAAAGAGTTTTGTTTAATTTCCATAAAAAGCTGGAGATAAAATGAATATCTAGGAAAATGTTTCAAGATTCAGATGGGTTAAACAAATTGCATACAACTGACAACATCTAACACAGTATAAATTTAATCACTCAACCGCTGTTACATATCTACATAGCCTATAAACTGGTATTATCAGAATAAGTTAGTGCTACCTGTGAGAAGGTTAATGAGGGCGTAGTTATTGCTGGTGTTAGTACTGTAGCCACACTTCTCAAGTAGGCTTGAAGCAAGGATGTTTTGGTAGAGCTCTGACAACCAAGTGTCAGAAAGGTAGACCAGCACCCCACTGCCATGCACACCCTCTACGAACTGCTCCTAGTAATTGACCAGCCACAACCATTAGATTACAGGACTTTCTAAAGATTTTGACATCAAGCTTATCTTCTCAGAGTTAAGATTTTAGGTTCTCACAGCAGTGAATATGGAGATGACAGTCTTCTGTCTCATAATCTTTACCAGTGTTTCAGAGGAATGTCCTGCCTCTTCTGCCCTCGTCATGGAGGCAGCGCAAACCTCAGAAACACCATTATATACAAGGGATGGAACTTTAATAGTGGCAACTATTTATTTACAACTGATACACAATAGATGCATGTTTCGAAGGTTTACTGTCCTTCAATGAGTCACCAGCATTGTGTACAACCCATTGCCAGCGATGTGGAAGTCGTAGGATACCTTTAGCAGCGCCTGTTGTGTTGATATTTCGAATGGAGCAGTCTACTGCCTGATGAAACTCTGGAACAGTTCTGAAGCTAATGCCACGAAGTGGTTCCTTCATCTTACGAATCAAGTCAAAGTCATGAGGGCTTAAGTCCGGGGAGTATGGTGGATGGTACAGCATTTCCCACCCCATCGATCGAACAAATCAGCCACAGCTTGCACTGCATGCGGCCAAGCACTGTCCTGCAAAATGATGGGTGGGTTCTGCAGAAAGTGTCACCGCTTCTTTCTCAAAGCTGGTTGCAGGTTGTGTTCCAAAAATGAATAGTAATACTGCGCACTGACGGTCTGCTGTCAAGGAACGGTATGCATTAGGATAACACCATCACAGTTGTACATGAGAATCACCATAATTTTCACATTGCTGGGGTTCTGACGAACTTTTGATTTTCGTGGTGACCCGTAATTATGCCATTCATTCGACTGGCATTTCATTTGTGGCTCGTACGATTTGGCCCATGTCTCATCCAGCATAATGATACGGCGTAAGAAAGCCTCTCCTTCACGCTCATAGCGCTCCAAGTGTTTACAAGCAGCGTCGTATCGTAGCCATTTCTGCATTTCCGTCAAATCATGCAGAACTCATCGTGATGCAATTTTTCTCATTCCCAGGCGTTCCTTCAGAATGTGAAGCACAGTCGTATGCGCTAATCCTCTCTCCCAGACCAGCTCACAAATCGTATGGCATCGACCACTCTCCAGTAACGCGGAAAGAGCATACACTTCTTCACTGACACTAGGATGACTTGGCCTACACATGTCTGCCACATTTTGGCATCCCTCATTGAAGGCCTTTACCCACCTTGCCACTGTTCTGTAAGGCAATGCAGATTCCCCGCAAGCCTCTTGAAGACCCTGATGACACTGTTGTGCTGTACGTCTGGCACATTCAATCTTTATCCAATTCCGTTGTTCCTGATCGAAAACATCGTGACAACACTACATTAGGCCACCAGCTAACACAAGGCTCTGTTCTTCTCATCACTGTGCATGCGCGTGATGTGGGAAGGGAGAGTCCATTTGCTCTGAGGTAAGTTAGGTATGTAACTAACGTGTGGTATAAACGACATTATTTGGTTCCATTGCATGGCGTCTCTACAACAGTGCTGCCACTATTAAAGTTCCAACCCTCGTATCTAGCAGACAATCTCACATATGAGAAGACAGCAATTCTCAGAGAACTTTACATCCCGCACTTCAGTGTTCTTGGTACAGAGCAAGAAACCAGTGGTAACCAAATAAAAGAACTAAAATTACACTTCTGTATAATCTGATCTTCAGAGCCTTAAATAAAATGTCAGAAGAGGAGAGATTCTGATCAACAGTGAGGATCCCCCATATCAAATCTACCATACAGATAAAAAGGTAAAGTTATCCCCGTAAAAGGCGGTGGAGGCCCACAGGGCTTTGAGATGTCGAGGCTCTCACATTTTCTCTTGACAATCAGCTCACAGATGGCAGTGAGGTTGTCAGCCTTACATGCCAGCCAGCTGCCCCTTACCCCCAGGAATATTCCTGGTACTCATTTCTGTTAAAGAGGCTGGGTCAACCCCAGAGCCACACTCTGACTGGGAGGATTAGATCAAGTGAAAAATCCAATGAACTCACTGGGTATGGAACTCATGACCTTCCAGCTTGTATTATAGTGCCTCTACCAACTACGCTACCACATGGCCCCCGCTGTACAGACAATACTGCACAAAATACCATCCGTCATATTATATCACAACCAGCACTTCATATTCGCAATACATTTGGTCCTCCTCTAGTAAGAAAAGAATAATGAAACACAGTCATAACACAACATGGACAGCTTCCTGGCAAGACCATAACACCAAGAGACAAGATTCAATGCCTATTACCTTTGAAAGAATCTACTGTTCCTCAGGCTAACTCTGTGGAGCTGAGCCCTTCATGGGAAACAGCCAGTTTCTCAGCTACTCGAGAATTTCCCAACATTTTATGGAACCTGAAGGTTCATTACTATGTTCACAAGGGCCCTCCACAGGTCCCTATCCTGAGCCAGATCAGTCCTGTCCATACTATGACACTGTATCTCCCAATATTATCCTCCAGCCTATGTCTAGGTCTTCCTAACGGTCTCTTTTCTCCTCAGGCTACAAAAAGTAAGCTACTCAATAATTCATACTAACCTCTGTCATTGGAACTGGTTTCATATGTTGATCTTGGTAGTAGCCCTGTTTGATAAGTTTCAGGTTCAGAAGTAATGCTGAATATGAGGCCAAGTAAATTCCGTCAGCATTGATAATGGTTATAAGAGTGAGATTGTGTGTACTGCTAGTATTGTTTGGTGAAATCTGCTGCTGGGAAAACAGGCCTGTAAAGAAGTCATACAGTACATGTGTATAAAGTTTTGGTTATAACATTATATATTTTACCTCCCTCATATGGATTCTGTGAAAAGAATTCATGGAAAGGACTTGTTCATTTAATTCAACCAAAATCATTACAATGTATTTCTTCCACTCCTACAAAGACAGTCATACTTACCACTTCTGTTATGTGTGTCCATTAATTGGATTATTTTCCTAGTTTTGATACACAAAAACTGAATTGAAAAAAGTGGTTTTCCTTGCACTGAAGACACACTGTGGACTTCTGGATGATTCCATCAACTCTGAAGATGAAGACAGTATGTTCCAAAACAGCGGTACCACCTACCAGACTACATTATATCATAACACAGGAGACCACAACTTCAGCCTCTTAATTGCTTTAATAAAAGTTGATTGTTAAAGGCACAAATCACTTAATATGAAGTAAAAAGATAAAGGTAAAGTTGTTCCTGTGCTTAACTAATTAAGCACTAAGTGATGAAGGCGTATGGGAGAATGGATGTATAGATCCACATTTTCTTTACCTCGGCATTAATTGGAGGTGAGCTGTCAGCTTCACGAACCTTTCGCTTCACCCCTGGGGAAAAAGCCCCTGGTACCCTTTGGATAGGAGGCTGGGTGGACCACAGAGGCAGACCCTTCGGTCGTCCAGCCTATAGCCAGTCACTATACCAACTACACTATCCCGGCTCAAAAAAAAAAAGCATGCCACTATTTTAAACAATACAATAACATGGAGCGCCTTCATAACCTGTCCTCATGTGCTTCAGTGATAGTAAGATACAGGGTTATCTAATGGGACTACAGTGCAAATGCCTTTTCTGTCTAACCACAGATGGAAACAAAATCTCTCCAAAATGTTGCACATCCCTCTTGTTCAGATAATGGATAATATCCATAAGAATACAAGACACAAACTGTTAAAGCCTGACATTATAAGTGATACACAGAATATACTGCAGATATTAACACTGTCATAAGTTTTCTATGTGCCTATTCAACAAGGATAAGAATGTATGGGGCTATACCTCCACTCCACCTATTTATCCTCAGGATGTGACCTAGGCAGAATAGAGAGTTTAAGAAAGGGCAGTAGAACAGCTACATTGGAATGACTCCAAGAACATCAGTGACAAACAGTAACTTAACACAAGATGGATTTTATCTTTTCATACAAATAAGATTATGGTCTTCTAGGTTGTGATGCTGTGTAGCTTGGTATAAAGGTACCAACATTTTGGAGGAACTTCCTGCCTCCACCTTCAGGATATAAGATGAAGTCAGCAAGTTCCTCCAAAATGTTACTACCTATCTACAAAACTACAAAGCATCTCATCCAAGAAATAATCTTAATATTCACTGTCACAAGAACCTTAAATGTCACACTTTCATATAATGTCTTTGTTTCATTAGAATGAAGGAATTTCATACAAACCTTGGCAGTACTTTGCTGAGAACTCCTGGACAGCCTCATCAACTTCAATGGAGCTGCGCAGTGTCAGTAGTGATGGCACAAAATTCTGAAGTGTCTGAACAAACCGGCGCGCATTGTGTCTCTCCACATCAATATATTCTTCACCAACCTTAACAGCAAACGTTACAACGAAAATCAGTAATTACAGTGGGAACCCCTACTTCACATCCTTCAATTTGACGTTTCCCCTCATGTGATACTCAAGTTCAATAAAACAAAGTCAATAATAACCTCAGTGTTAAATTTCTTTCACTTAAGATTCTCATTGGTTTAGCATTCAAATTCTCTCCTCCCTAAAGACACTTCAATTAGCGGTTTCACTGCAATGACAATAATATCCACACAACTATTCTCCCCTTTCCCTTCCTTCCAGAAGCCAGGATAGCTAAGTTGTTATAGCGACAGGCTACAAGCTGGATGGATGGGGTTCAATCCCTGGCACGGGCAAGAGACTTCTTCTCTCTTCACCACAGCACCTATAACAGCTCTGGAGCCCACCCAGTCTCCTATCCAATGTGTACCTGGGGATCCTTCTCCAGAGGCAAAGTGGCTGGGGCAGGAAGCTGACCACTCATCTCCATCTAGTGCCAAAGCCAAGAATGGTGGAGTTATAACCACACTCTCCTATATGTTTTCAAGGCATGATGCTTAATTAATTTATCACAGAGGTAACTTCGCCTATTATCTTCTTTACCTTGCATTTAGTATAGGGACAGTATTACAATACTCAACTATACAAAAAAGTAAAGGTAAAGCTATCCCTGTAACAGGTCCTGAAGGCCCGTAGGGTTGTGAGACATCCAGGCTCCCACATATTCTAGACAATCGGCTCACAGATGGTGGTGAGATTGTCAGCCTTATGCACCAGCCGCCCTTTGACCCCAGAAAGATTTCTGGTACACATTTCTGTTAGAAGGTAAGCCGACCCCAGTGCTGCAGGGCAATTGCAAGGATTAGACCAACTGAAAAAAACCAGTAACCACATTGGGAATCAAACCCACAACATTCCGGCTTGTAGCACAGGGCCTCAACCATGCTACCATGTGCCCCAATACTCATCTACAAGGGAACAAAGAGAGAAGATAGTTCCTGCATATATCCTGGGAGGAGGGGAGACGGTCCATCCATTCCTAACACTCTTAACCTTGACATTAGTGGAAGTAACAGATGTGGTGAGCTTCATACTTTGACTGCTGTGCCCTCAGAGTAAGACAGCCAGGTACCCAGTACAAAGGAGATGGGGTGGGCTCCACAGCTCATCTGATATGATGGTAAAGGGAAGTAAATATTAACCCTTTCACTGTAATGAGTGGAACAGCTCCACCCAGAAAAGCACACTGTTCAATACTGAGTTAAACACACTGTGGAGTACAGACCCATTGCTAAGAAGTGACTCAGTAAACAATGGCCACTGCAAGGTAACACCCAGGGCCATGCCATAGCTCAAGTGGTTAGTCACTGGTTTCCCACCACGGCAGCCCGGGTTCGATCCCGGGTCTGGTCAAGTGGGATTTTTGGTGGACAAAGTGGTGCTGGGGCGGGATTTCTCCAAGTACTTCAATTTCCCCTGCCAATCTTCATTCCACCAAATTCTCCATCATCATAATCACACGGGGCAGGCTAAAATAAGCCAATCAGTGGCCATCGTGACGAGTGGACCCAGTTGGACTCCACCCCCAACTAAGCAAATTTTAAAAAGGTAACACCCACAACATACATGCAAGCAGTAACAGAACAACAGTGTTTTCCACGTGGTCCATGCTGCAACCGTTGCTATGCAACAGCGTGATAAACAACATGCCTCTACATCAATAGAGGGGCTGTTTTTTCTGTGTGGTCCGTGCTGAGGAGTTATCTTGAAGACAACTGGCGCTACAGTTCAGTTGAGAGTTCAGGTGTAGAGTGCTAACCAGCAGGCAACAGCATCACCATACAGGCTGAAGAATCTCCATTTTTAAGATTCATTACCAGGAAATGTCTAGTAAAAACAATGCAGAAGAACAGCCATTGTTGAGAGCTGTTACCAAGTAACAGCTTGTCAAAGTAGACTGAGAAGACTTAGTGTTGAGTGATTTGTAGTGTGGAAATCAGCAACAGTGTCATAGTTACTTGTAGTTACGACCTGCAAGTGATCAATAAATCTATTCACCAATCCAAAGCCCATCAACAGTCACTCTAAATCATACCAGTACACTTTACGAGAATGAGGGAAATCAAACCTGGTGAACAGCCATGTCATCTCCATGGTGCAGCGTACGGGGCAGTTTCTCTAACCTCAGTGCCTCTTGTTGTTCTCGTTGGCGTTCAGCCTGCTCCATCATTTCATCCACCTGCACAAAATAGAAAGAAACATGTAGTCAGCCATGCTTCAATAAAATGCCTTATATCCATTAATTACAATATCCTTCTCTTTACACTCTACTACATGACGGAACTGTCACAAGCATGCGGTAACTAATTCTTAGTCTGTTAAACAACACTAAACGGTCCAGTGATTAAGGTGAACTCTTTCTAAGAAACCCAACAGAGTAAGCATTTTTCCCCTCACCTGAAGACAGAAAGAGATCCAGTTTCCAAAATGCTGTGTTCTCTAGGTTTTTTTATAGAATACTAGATGATGGACAAAGCCCAAACACTCAACTCAGTAATTCCAGGAATTACATTTCTTTTATAAAATTCCACTATGGGAAGCATCATCACTAGATGACAAAATGACCCTGATTTGTTTCTTGGAGATATATGGCCCAAATCTCAGCTAGAACAGACACCAACTACCCTGGCTGAGGGTCTCCTTAGTTCCTTCAAACAAAACCCAAGACAGTACCTTAAATTAGACCATGCTCACTTTCTTCCACATCCTTTCCAATTCCTTAACCATTCTCACCCAATAATTTGCCATTATAGTGTCTCACTTACTGATTACAAAACAAAGAACATCACCAAACTGCAAAATTATATTAAAATTGTATTTAGTCAGTCTGTCTTACTTTGCCTCCTTTCAAAACCTGCACTTTCTTCTCATCTGTCATAAAAGATGACATTTGACTTGTTAAAACCATGAAATCAGTCCTGCAGTTAAATATTCTGTGAATTTTACTCCAGAAAGAAAACTGTATCCAATTTCAGTCATAAAATTGTTTGTGGACATTATAGTTAATCTGAGCAACCCAGCAAGAAAGTTGAAAATTTTCTGTTAACTCTCTAAGAATAACAACAGAATGGTGGCAGAGCCATCTCCTAATATGCTATATGAATGAAACACCAATGGACAGTGCTCAAAATAAACATGGCATAGTGCTGGACATGTATTGTACAAGATCACTTTCTTCTGAGATGTGAAGTCATGTACTCTGGTAGGTGCTTACCAATGGAGAAATATGTTGCCTCCAACTTAAGAGTAGAGGTCTCTGCTACCCTGAAGATGGAAGCAGCAGGTTCCTCCAAAATGCTGGCTACAGTCTATCAGACTACAGAACCATTGCCATGAGATCCTCAAATATCTTATGTAATATTATATATATACGTTTATCACCTGCACATGATCACTGGTAAAACCTTCTTCTGGGCCCTCTGTGTCTCCTGACCCTGAACTAGCATTACTGCCATCACTGCACTGTGACAGGGGTCGGAGCACATGTGGGGGCTCATCCCCCTGTTCAATACCGCTGCTGCTGTCGCTTTCATCACACCCCTCTCCTCCTACACTCACACCAGTCTGGGAAGCCAACAATTCACGCTCAATGCAGTCTCGATATGGTTTTGGAAGTCGAAGCAAGGACTGGTAAGTTAATGGACCTGCAAAACACGTATGCATCATATTATCTTGTGAAGTCAGCATGTATGATTTTTCATACCATTTTATAATTATGCATGTCCTTCATCTTTTGTCTCCTATAAATCATTCATGTATGACTTCACTACAGTTTACTGCATTAACATACTACTAAGTCAAACACACAAAAATCTAATCATGATTACGTACCTCCTAAACAAGTTGGACTAGATGTTACGTTCTGGACTTACATTCAGGTGGTGTTCAGCCAAATCTCACCTTTCCAATGGTCATCATGACTGACACTGTGATTTCCTCAGTCCATCCAAAGAAATGCTAGGATATTGCCTTAGGAAGGCCACGACCACCTCCTTCCAACTCCTTTCCACTTCATCTACCATAAATCATGAAAGAAATAAAGACTTGTGCCGCACCTTGGTAGTCGCACTGGTCCAGCTGCGTGTACATGCCATTGATACGATCCATGTAGGTGTGAGTAATCCCTTTTCCAGTACAGAGCTCCTCCAGTGAGCCCAACATAGCAACAATACATGCCACGCTGGCACTGCATACAGCTGAATCTACACATTTGCTGCACTCCTCAATAGAATCCATCACTCTACAAGGAACATCAAAACAAATATCATACATTTAATATTTTTTCCTAACACAGATGAACTGAACAGACTAATACAATTATTCTGTTCCTGGATATTATTCAGCATCCTGCTTTTATTTAAAACACACGTTTCCGAGACTGGATTCTGCCTCCGTCTTCAGACAGAACATACTCAGTTGGGCACAATCAATGGTTCTAGTCCATATTTCTGTACACCAGCACCAACACAAGCTAAGGTTAAAAAAAGGTAAAGCTATCCCTGTAACAGGCCACAGAAGCCCAAAGGGTTGTGACATGTCAAGTTTCCAACATTTTCTGGACAATCAGCTCACAGATGGCAGTGAGAGTGTCAGAATTATGCGCCAGCCGCCCTTTACCTCAGGAAGATTTCTCATACTGTTCTGTTAAAGACTGAGTTCATCCCAGGGCCATAGTGCAGTTGGAAGGATAAGGTTAATTAAAAAATCCAATGATATCATTGGGAATTGAACCCGTAACCTTCCAGTTTGTAGCATAGTGCCTCAACCAGCTACACTACTGCACAAGACATATAGACCAAGCACACCATAAACCATCTGCAAGAGTTAAGACAAATTAAAAAACATTAAAAAACTCCACACACACACACACACATAAGGCCTAGCTCCTATGTCCTTGCTCTATTTCATGACGATGGATGATGTCCAGAAACACAATAATTGTATCACCATACCATCATCACAAACTTTTGGATCTTATGAACAGACTAAGCTTCACAGGTTATTATTAACTTCAAATCTCAGACAGGGAATATACTAACGATTACTGCATTCACAATTGTTGTCACCTGGGTTATGACACCATGCAGTGAGGTAAGAACAATGGTACCGATCTATCAGACTATATGGTGTCATGGCTCTTCTACCCTAATATAGAAGAAATATTTTTCTTGAAAACATTAGTAACCATCACCACAGTAGGTGACATCATACTGGGAAAATCAGCTCAAGTGGTAACACTTCTGGGTTGTCTTCAGGAGTTTCCCACTTCAATCTTGGATGAGAACTATCCAGACTTTGATTTATCAATTGTCATGACCACACAGGACTGAATGATGGAGGAATGATTCTGAATGACAAATTGATGGAGGCTTAGACTAATGGTCTTCTTGTCCTTAGGTTTTCATGGCCTCTAATGTGGATGTTCAGCTTTCAGATTTTAGGCACATGGTATGTTGAAGCTATTCCAACATTGTGGCATGCGGTGCAGTAATCTTCACCACCCTGAAGATTCCAACTGTAATATATACTGAAATTTTGGAATGACTTTCATAATGACGATTTAACTGAAGAAATGTCATCATGTCAAATACAATTAGTAGTCGCACATCATGTAGACAAATTTTTAAAGATTACAATGTTTTAACATTGCCTTCTCTGTATATATTGGAGGTGACACGCTTTATCAAAAAATACAAGGCTTTTGTGGCAATAAATTCAGACATTCATAATTATAACACACGAAAAAAAATTTCATGTACAGCACTGTAATACAGCTCTTTTTAAGAGGAGTGTGATAAATATGGGAATTAGTTTGTATAATAAGGTCCCCAATCAAATAAAACAAAGGGAAATTTTTAACTCATTTAAAAAGGAATTAAAATCTTTTTTGCTGAAACATTCCTTTTACTCTGTAGATTAATTTATGTCTTTTGATTCATCAAGTGTGTAAATGTAATATGTAGCTGATTAATTTGTTGTATTTTGTGTAAAGACAATGAAATTAATGGTAACTAGATCTAGATAATATTATTCAGATGACAAACCCCCTATATTAGGGTGGTACAGTGTATTCTGTAAAGATACACACGAGAATCTGACAATTTCCCTATCCAAAGGGTTGTAATACCTGTATGTATGGACTGTTGAATGATAAAAAAAAATGGCAACATCACTACAAATGGTCAGTACTACCCTCCAACAAAGACGTGGTGGGTAGAGATGGTTGATCTTAATGATTGTACTGTTCACTTGGGGAAAAACTGATGTTCACAGTACACACAGGTGGACTCTGGTAAATCCCTCACCTTCTGTTCACTGGAAGACAGTAAATGAGCAGTTGGAATGCAGAAATAATGGTTTACACCATGGTACAATTTAGGCATCTGTCTAGAAATGAAACCAGTTGGTAACCAGCATCAAAATTTAGATAACACATTAACACAAGGCTAGAATGTTAGTACACATCAACCTGATTTCTGAATGTTTATTCCAGATGGATATAAATACAAGTAATTATCATTTATTTTCATAGAATATACCAAGATTTAAATGGACAGGGTAAGGAAAAGCATAAGTGAACTTCTGTACAACTTACAGCCTCATAAGTGCCATATCACTCTGCTGTTGGGATCCCTTGTCATCCTCCACCAGAATTGGACCAGCAAAATCCACAATGCGGCTTGGGCTTCGCAGTAACTAATATAAAAACACATATATGTCAGAATCACCTCTCTTGCAGGTCTACAACAGACAATGTCCATCTACACACCCCCACCCTGTCATCCCTTGAAGAGTGAAAAAGAACTTGAAGAATAAGAATGTTTATTTTGAATTGTTTCATATTTGGTCCATTACACTATCAATCACAAATTGTCAATGAATAATCCGTCGAGTGTAGCAGATCACGCAGCTTACATACTGTGTACAATACAACGCCAGTGGTTTCATGTGTTTGTAACGTGGCTCTGATGATGGTTTCTTTTGAACCGAAACATGTAAGGCGAGTGAAATAAATAAGTGACCTAAGAACGTTGTTACACTCGACGGATTATTCATTGACAATTTGTGAATGTTTATTTTCTTTATTTCTTTATCTTTTTAATGATATCCCAAACTTCAGGCTGCACAGCATCAAAAGGTAGGGTGATTAGTGAATAATAGGTTAGAAAGAATGTGGAAGGAAGCAGTCACAGCTTCGTCTGAGATGCTATCCCAGCATATGCCTGCAGGAAATGGGGAAAATGGTGAAAACCTTCAGTTACGGTAGTTCTCCACAGCAAGGTAAATAATTTTTATTTTTACAAGTACTTCTAAAAAAAAAAAAAAGAAATTACTGAATGAAACAAGACACCTTCTTGAGAAGCTAATAGTCACTCAGCTACTCAAATCATTCTCCACCTTTCACAGTACCCAAAGGTTCACTACCATGTTGACAAGAGCCCACAGGTGGACCCTACACTGAGCCAGATGAATCTAGCCTATACCTTCAAATTTTATTTCCTTCTCAATACCATCCTTCCATATGCCTAGGTCCACCACATGAGCTCTTCCCTTACAATTTCTCATTTCTCCCATGCTGCTACATTCACCAGTCCTGAAGGTTATCTATCATGTCCTTATTTTAAGAACTGTTTCCTGACCAGAACTGGCACACCTCATTCATTACCTTTTAATTTTCAGTGAGTTATCTTATGATGCTTCCAGTGGCACTGGTTACATTGTCAAATGGTAGGATGAAAGATGAATGATAAATTGGAAGAGATTTTGAAGCAGGCAGTCATGGTTTCATTGAGGTACTGACATGGCATTTCTCTGGAGGGACTGAGAAAACCACAAAAACCCTCAGTCAGGATAGCTAATGGCCTAGCACTGTGAACCACACACCTCCCAGACATAAGTCTAGAGTGTTACCACTAGACCAGCCTGTTCAGTACGCCCCATTATCATCTGATCGACTATGCAGTGAAATGATCATTTATTACACTGATGTCTATGAAAATTTCCATCTTGTAGGATGTGATGCCACATAGTTTGATAAGCAGGAACCAGGTAGAACCCCAAAGATGTACACACCAGAGTCTGCCAAAACATCTGCGCATCCATCAAACTATATGGCACTGGATCCTACAAGGCAATAATCTCCAGTGTCACCGCACGAAAGCCTCAGTTCTTTCTACACAGTGGAATCCCCACTTAATGTTACAGAATTTAAAGTTCTCCCTCACTTAATGTTAAATGTTATCGATCTCAAATCAATGACATTGTGGCGCAGAGACCCACTGCTAGGTAGTGAACATAACATACATGCATTAAACAATAGAAGAGCTGTGTTTTCTGTTGGTCTGTGCCGAGGGGTTATAATCAGGACAAAGTTTAGTGCTTAGTTAAATTCTGAGACATTGACCAGCCAGGAATGGTGTGAGCACAAAAGCTGATAAATCTCCACCATTAAAATCCTTTTCCAGGAACAGCTAGTGGAGACTGTAACAGACTGAGGACACTAGTGTGTGTCGNTCCACCATTAAAATCCTTTTCCAGGAACAGCTAGTGGAGACTGTAATAGACTGAGGACACTAGTATGTGTGTGTAAGTGATCTGTAAAGTGAAGTCATGTGTGTGTAAGTGGTCAATAAATCAAGTCACCAATCCAAACCCCATCTATAGTCACACACACACATGACAATATCAATGTTCACCTGCTTCCATTTAAGACTTTTCTTGGATTTTGTGTTGAAAGCATTAAATAGGCATTTAACTGAATTGTACGTACTTTGATCTCCATTACTGTGGTGCTTACCTCTCGTAGTGACTTCAGAGCCTCAAGGCGATGCTGAGGTGGTGGATACAATAGCATGCGATGGAACACAGACTCCAAGACAGGCCTCAGGGAACCGACACACCCAACAAGACGCACCAACTGTGTGCCAATACTGGAACAACATATGTTCTTTTCTGTCAAACCACACTTCCAATCACATTAAACTCACCAGATATATAATATGAATTAAAAAGTTCTCATTTCATTATTATTTGAATTTAATTAGGGGAGATACTTTGGTTTTGGGCTTCAGCACATTAGTAGGTTCTTCCACAGCTCAGGTGGTTAGTTGCCAGCTTCCTACTGCTGCAGCCCAGGTTCAATCCTAGGTCAAGTCATGTGGGATTTGTGGTCAACAAAGTAGGACTGGGGCAGGTTTTCTCCAAGTACTTCAATTTCCCCTACCAATTCTCATTCCAATGAAATGCCCCACACCCATCTGTCATCTGGGGCTGGGACAACAGACCGATTAGTGGCCGACATACCAAGTGGACAGCCTCATCCCACCCCATGAAATAAAAAATGTCACATTAATACATCACTTGCTGAGCTGTATGCAGTACTCCAAGCAGCACTACAGTTCACATGACTACATGTTTCAACAGTGACAGAGTTCAAATATATTAGTTCTATCTAGGAGTGACACCTACCAAACATACAATTTTGATTCTGACCACCGAGATAAACATGATAGAATGCAAACCTGTACACCGTCTTTGCCTCTGAGCTGTTGAAGCTGGGGGCTGTAGCAAGGCAGCCAGACCCACGACCCTGCACTTCTGCTCCCTCCCGAGTTCCAGCCTGACCTCGTGACACAATGTGCTTGTCCACACGAGGCGAGCCAAGGAAAGCTATCAGAGCAGGACAGAATTTCTGCCACAGGAAAGCCGTGAAGTGGTGATTGTTATGAATCTGTTGAGGTAGGCTGGAGACAAGTGTGTGCAGACACTCCAGCAGGAACACTACACTGTTACCACATCTCCCCACACTGCAACACAACATGCCATGAAACTTTAAAATGGACTATTTCAGTTAGCGATGCTACTAATGCTACTTTCTGGTAACAGGACTGTATGGTTCAAATTTACTGTATCAAATCCAGCCCCTGGACACAATCCTAAACCAATTCTATTTACCTCCCATCCTTACAGCCTACTTCTCTACAATTTAACTTTGTTTGATTCTCCTACCACTCCTCAGTCTTTCAAATGGCTGCTTTCCCAAAAGATTCCCCACTTGAATCCTGTATAAATATCCCATCCCACCACCCATCCCCACTTTAATGAACATGCTTGGATCACCATAACCTCCTTGACTGCACTACACTATATGTAGGTCTGGACTCTTACTTGAGTCATTATGCTTCACCCCAAACAACTTATTCAGCCAGGCTCAAGCATACTTCCCTGCATTAATCTCCAGTGATCTAGTTATTCCTGTTCCCAGGAATCATTCTCTGTGGCCTCAGCACATTAATAGCTAACCTGTACACATCACAAAGCCCCTTGTTAGAAGTCACATATAAAACAACCCACAAATTTACTGTTTCATCATACAAAGGTTTATGCCACTTCTATCCCCCTGCAGGAGATTAACATACCTTTCTACATCTACAAAGGCTGGACTACGGTATAAGCAAGAATTAATTTTTCATGCTTCATAATAAAATATTGTCACATGATACAGCGTGTCTATAGGATGGCTTTGGATCAGTGATCTAACTATCATACATAGACTAGAGTCCTCTGTCATAGTCTTCACTGCACTGCTCAGTAGAGGTTTCAAATTGTCTAGTGTCCTCAGCTTCTGTGTCCAACAGCTCCTGTCCTCGCTGGCTGTCACCTTTCAGCTGCAGCTCTCGAGCTGTACTAACTAGCTTCCAACTGCCGAACTCACTCACAACAAGTAATTGACTCCTTACGTAGCCTTGGTATGGCCCACAAAGAAAAACATCTCTCCCAACAATTCTTCTATTGCTCCATCACGTAGCTACTGCACGGACCACTTCCCAGTTACTCCACTGTTGCATGTTACAAATCAGTTGCCTAGCAACGGCTGTCTCTCCTGGCTTCACAATTCTTGTCTTGAGCCAATATGCCATAATATGTTAAGACTTGGCTATGGGATGGATGACCAAGGGATCAGGATTCCATTCTCAACATGGATAAGAGACTTTTCTGTTCTCTGTAGTGTCCAGACTGGCTCTAGGGCCCATTCAGCCTAAATTCAATACATTCCTTCTTCTCACCCCTTAGATGTCTTCATGGTATTGTACAAAATGAAGCACAGAGACAACTTTACCTTACAACAAAAAGCATATAATCTTATTAAAGGACTCATACTCACGCCTGTGCCTCGTCCATTTTGCTACAGATGAACTGCAGGATGGGAATCACCTCATTGAAACATGACACACCAGAACCTCCATCACAGTTGGCACCAGTCTGCTTCAAACTCTTATCCAGTTCCTGTGATTCTTCCTCTGCAGTGACACAGAAAATCACCATTTACTCCACAATCATTAGTCAAGACAAAGGCAATCCCTTGTGGACACAGTACCAAACAACTACCATCTTCTGACTGTATCACTGTGTGGTTTGGTGAAAGTCAAACGTATCAGATGAACATACTGCTATCACTTCAACAGCCAAGCAAGAACCTAGCAAAAGCAGGTGGCAAACTTCATTCGAAACATCGGCCTTTCTCCACACGATATGGCACTACTGCCCAGGAAACTGTACTCGTCATGGCCACCACTGCAAGACCCTCAAAGACAACACAGTTATGAATATTCATATTCATGTTCAATAAATGACTGAGAATTTCTTGAATACCTAAGCCACTATCAGCTTACCAAGAAGTATTCTGCTGCTTGGAGCTGATTGTAGACAAAGCTAAAATTAGCTCTCTGTTTAATCGGTCGCACCATAGCTCAAGCGGTTAGTCACTGGCTTCCCACCGTGGCAGCGGCTCAGGTTCGATCCCAGGTCTGGTCAAGTGGGATTTGTGGTGGACAAAGTGGCACTGGGGCAGATATTTTCTGAGTACTTCAGTTTCCCCTGCCAATCTTCATTCCACCAAATTCTCCATCATCATAATCACCCGAGGCAGGCTACAATAGGCCAATCACTGGCCGCCATGCCGAGTGGACCCAGTTGGACTCCATCCCCCACTGAGCAAACTCTCTGTTTAAGGTACTTAGCACCAAGATGAAGCTTCAAGCATTGTCTGATCTCTAAGTAGAACTGAACTGTAAGCTTCGCATTTCATAAATCTTCACTAATAACAAAAGCCCTCAAAGGAGTTTCTAATGCCAATATCAGGGATCAGCATCTTGCCACTCAGTTTGCAGGTATTCATTTTAAGGGCTATACAATCTTAACTCACATTACCACATAAATCTGTGTAACATGCGTTACTGTAACAATAAATGTGTATTCAATGCCAGCACACATACTTTCCATATGCACTCTTTGTGACTCGGCAACCCTTAATGACATTGATACTCGTCTGTTGTAGATACACATCCTTTACGACAAAGCTAAACACACTACAAGAGGGCCCAAAAACATTTTTCCTTTAATTTTTTCAAATATTCACCATACAGGAAAAAAACATTTTCAAATAAAAGTTAATGACATCCATGCTTTATGTACATATTAATTCTCTGCAACATGAGCTATTTCTGAGAAAATCTGTAGGTCCAATTAAATTTATGGCTCACCCTAACACACCAAATTTTGTCAATATCAGCTGAGTAGTTCAAGAGATAAAACGTGCAGATGATATGGACAGGCACAACCCGTCCACTGTGTGTTAATTTTATAGTCTCTGTGCAGAGAAGACATAAAGAACGTGACATGCCATACTTTCCCACGTACTTTCTTCTGTATTAGTTTTTACACTATTCACTTCATTCTGTAAACAACATCTAAACCAAGTGACATCTGAGGCTCTCAAGGCACGTATAATGAAAATTACCATCTTCTTGGATGTGATGCCATGTAGTTTAGAAGTAACCAATGTTTCACAAGCATGCAATGCCTCCATCTTCAGTACTGAGGAGCAAGCCAATCAATCCAACATAAATATTAAACTATCCTGTCTCTCCTAGACTGTTAGTAACCTAAACCAAGCCTTCTAATCATCAACATTCTTTTCACTTGTTTACCATCCACCATGCAACAATATCAGGATTTAAAATTCAACCCTTTTAAAACTTCTCCTTGCACTACATTCCGGCCTACACCGATGCTTTATGAAAAAATCCATTTCAGTAGTGTAGAAGGCATAGCAATTCCCCCAGACTCCAATGTACTGATGATGGCCAAGTAGGACGAAACATGTAGCACAAGGATGAATTTTAAAATGATTGGATTTTAAACCACGATACTGTTGCATGGTAGATGGTAAATATTTCACACAATATTAACAATGCAGTTCCATCAACAATGCAACTATTTTATTCTTTCCCTTTCAGAACATGTTTCGGCCCCAACCAGGTATCATCAGGTACCTTAGTTTGCCAAAGCTGTTATACTGTATTGAATATCATCTACTACAAGAGGGGTCAACACCATACGGTGGTGGAGAGAATGACATACAGACAAGGAGCAAAACGTAACAGAAATGGGCTTAGGTACAGCAAACAACAGGCCGCTACAATATAAACATCCAAGGAAGAATTTGATTTGTTTCATTCTGGTCCATCACACTAACAATATTATAAAAATAAGAAAAAATCTTCACCAGTCACACTGGACAAACTGTTTTATCTTTTTATCCAAGGAAGAATCGAAATACTTGTACACTGTCTGGACAAGCGGATGATGCTCTAGTGAGGTGTAAAAAGAATTTTACAAAATTTAAAGAAAAATAAATTTTAAATTATAATGAATTTAAAGTAAATTACAGCATATGATAATTCAACTAAAGTTAGCTAGATTGTGACTACAACATTAATATCATGGAATACTGCAGTTACACGTGAAGTGAACGAGTGATATCAATACAGTATAACAGTTCTGGCAAATTAAGATACATGATGATGGCCAGTTTGGGTCACATGTTGTAAAATGGAACGCGAAAGGGAAAGAATAAAATAATCGCATTGCTGATGGAACTATATTATTATTATATGCAGAAGTTATAGTAATGAAACAGAATGCTTAAATACAATATTGCAGATGATAAACAACTGAAAATAAATTCTAATACCAACTGCAACAGGATGCTTGGATACAACATGACCAATATTCTGCTATTTCTGATGCTCAGCTCAGCAAACACTTAACGTTACCATCTTACTTACTTACTTACTCATGTAGCTGAGCCCTTCTTGAGGAGCTGCCAATTCTGCAGCTACTCAAGAATTTCCCAGCATTTTATGGAACCCAAAGGTTCATCACCGTGTTCACAAGAGCCCTCCACTGGTCCCTATCCTGAGCCAGACCTATCCAATCTATACCATCCCATCCTATCACTCTAAAATCCATTCTAATACTGCCCACCCATCTACGCCTTGGTCTTCCCTGTGGTCTCTTTCCTTATGGCTTTCCCGCCAATATCCTATACACATTCGTCTCCCCCATTCGTGCTACATGCCCTGCCCACCTCATCCTCCTTGACTTGATCATTCTATTTATACTTGGAGAAAAGTGCAAGTTATGAAGCTCCTCATTATGCAGTTTTCTCCAACCTCCTGTCACTTCATCTCAATTCGGTCCAAATATTCTCCTCAACACCCTGTTCTCAAACACCCTCAGTCTATGTTCCTCCCTTAATGTCAGAGACCAAGTTTCACACCCATACAGAACCACAGGCAAAATTATAGTTTTGTACATGTATATTCTAGTTTTTATGTTTTTGGACAACAGACGAGAAGACAAAAGGTTCTGGACTGAATGGTAGCAAACTTAACGTTACCATCACTAAACATAAAGAGATGTTGAAGACCACTAACCGAGGAAGTTGCAGAAAGACCTGAGAGTCTGACTGGTGGCTGCCTGAGCAGCTGTACGAACAGCCTGGTTGCCAGTCTCATGTGCTTCGCTACATACAGTCAATATCTGTATGATAATTCTCCCATTCATAGTCCAGTAGTTGCTGCATGCCACGTTTAGAAGCACCTGTCATCACAGATTTAATTTTACAAGAACGTAACACTGTGTACAATGTTACATTAATTCCCTAGTGTACAGCTCACACTGCGGACTGCAAAAGACAGTGTCACGTAACTTCGAACAAGGCCCGGCATTCCTAGTCAAATCCCGTGCATAGCTTGTGGTGGGAGGAGTTTCTTAACACTCGTTCTTCACTCGTTCTTCCCTCGAACCCACCCCCTTGTCTGAAATTTTTCTTCTGCGCATTCAAGGTTACTCTTGGCCTTGTTCAAAGTTACGTGACACTTGCTATACCTCTCAAAGAGAGTAGTCTGATAAGTAGGTAACAACATTTTGAAGGCACAGAAGGCATGTACCAACTCCATACTCCAACACAAACATGGCCATAGTACTTCAGATTGCTGGGTTTTTGAACTTTCTCCATTGTCTGGTATTCTAAAAAACACAAAAGAACACCATACAAAGGATGAAGTCCAAAACCCAGTAATCCTGAGTGCTATACACCATCGTCAGAACCCACCAGACTCTACACAGAAGCAGAACTATCTCCAAAATGTTGGCACACCCGTACCAGACTATACAGTGTCACCACCCCAGGGCCACAATAAGAATCTTCCATCTTCACACAAATCTCAATCTCATATAATGTACAGTTATATGAAAATGTTAATATAAGCATTTCTGAGTCTACAGTTTTGGAGAAAATTAAAATGCTTACAGCGTCTAAAAAACTAAAGACCTACTTTTGAAAAACATACATAAGAACAAGGGCACGTAACCATCTGAGCTACTGTTGTTTATAATGTAGGAATTCACAACTGGATACACTCACCTTCAGCATATCAACTTGTGTGTCATCTGACTGGGTAAGAATGGAACCCATGGCATGCAACAGCTGTGACGGAAGCCACAGGGAATCGTCTTCTGGCTCAAAGTTGGACTGGAAACGGTCATCTCGAACAAGTTTCTGTAACACATCACAATGAACAAATACCAATAAAGCAGTGACTTACTCCTCAGCTTGAAGAACCCTGCATTTTGCATACATTTCTTCTCTTCATCATGTGACAACGACTGGAAGGTGAGGACAAAAGTTCTCAGCAAACCAATTTACACACCACAAATCCCATATGGGGCTGGACATGGGCTTCTACAGAGATAAGACAGAATCTGTATGAGATATGGCACGCCCTTTAAACTCATCCCCATGTCTAAGCTACAATCAAAGAAATTATATAAACAAGTATTTCGAAGCAGAATTCATGAAGTCTAATTTCTTCTTGCATTGTTAATACCAAGACGTGGGTGAGTGGACAATATCAAAATGGATCTTAGAGAGACAGGATGGGATGGTATGGAACAGTTTGTTCTGGCTCAGGATAGGGACCAGTGGAGGGCTCTCATGAACACGGTAACGAACCTTCGGGGTCCATAAAATGCTGGTAAGTTCTTGAGTTGCTGCACAGCTGGTGGCTTCTCAAGATGAGCTCAGCTCCATGAGTAATTGATTGATTGATTTCTACTTCTTCAACTCCATTACTTTTATTCCTGTCATTTTATTTAATTTTATTTTTGTGATGATCTTATTACCTAACTAAATATTTTGTCTACATGGAATCTGTTGAACATAACCTCAAATTTCTTCATGACTGTTACAAATAATATTTCATATGTAACATGCAAGCATCTGTACAATTGATCTCTGCACCAAACTTCACTTGCCTGTCTCCAATGGTTCATTAGTGATTGTCATAAATTTCCACATAGATACAATGCTATTACAATTACAAAAGACAAGTTCGTCCAATGTGACTATTTCAGTTTTCTCACTTGATGATTCACTAGCCTTACATGTTTCGATCCATTTGGATCATCTTCAGAGGCTCCAAATACTTTTTGAAACCACTATCACAACAGTTGTCATATCAAATACACATGTAATGTCCAAGTACGCAATGTTCCATCTATCACTCACAGCAGCCTTTCTGGTTATAGAAATATTTAAAGTTGTTTTAAAGTTTTAAAAACCTTTGTTAAAAATTAAAATACATAAACCATATGGTTCATGTCAATAACCCGTCGTCTCTCTTCAAGGTGGCCGATGTTGTGCCTCCTATATAACTTTATTAGGGAGATTCTTAATATTGTCCGTTATGATTTCTTGGCCCGCTGTGCTGTGTATACACATGTATACATCGAAACATGTAAGGCTAGTGAATCAAGTGAGAAAACTGAAATAGTCACATTGGACGGACTTGCCTTTTGTAATTGTAACTGTTAGTGTGACGGACCAAAATGAAACAAATCAAATACAATGCTATTAGTTTATATTCAATACAAAAACTTACTTAAAAATGGAACATTTCCCAAGAATTACAGGGCCCCTATATCAAGTGGCTCCAGTGTCATGCCCATCTCTATACTTCAAGTATCTGCCACCCTGTTATTACTGACTCCAAAATATTAAAGCTGTCCCTGTGCTCAACGAATTAAGCACTACGCCATGAAGACGTATGGGGTACTGGATGTATAGATTCATATTTTCTTGACCTCGGCACTAGATGGAGGTGAGTTGTCAGCTTCATGCCCCTTATTACTGACTGTAATAAATTAACAAGTATGGCTATAGGACTGGTTCCAATGGCATAAAGTTCAAACCTGCACCGCGCCCTTTGTCTTCTTCTCCTTCTGATTATTATTATTACGAAGAGGAAGGGCACAGCGCAATCGTTACTGGCCCTATTGTTGGTTCCCACGCTCCCCAAGATGGACATGGGGTATCCAAGCTAGGAGGAGGAAGCTACACTCAGTTCGTTGGCTTAGATAAGAACAAATAGAATTTTAATACAAAAATATATAACAATACATAAATAACAAACGACACATTTGACCAAGAAACTAATGCAAGCTCATTTAGAGCAAAACAATTTCCCGTCGGCACCACTTGTGTCGACACTAGGCATATTAGGACGTTAAACACTCAGACTATACAAACACAAGTCTAATTCTGAAAAAAAAATACCAAACCAAATCTAATAACGCGCGTCGCAAGCGTTCAAGCAACGGCTTGTGACCGCGGGCAGTCCTTACTGGCCAGCCAGATAGCACCAAAAGGGAATTTAGAACAAACCAAGCCGAAACCAATATTTTCCACAACAAACCTGCTGGCTAGTAACCGACCTTCCAAGTCAACTTGGTCTACACGACTGCACTGTACAAGTCTCCCCTTCACGAGAGGGTACATGAGACCACATGACTGACGTCAGGATACTGCATAGTGGGGATGGAATCCGTCAAGGGAAACATGATGACATCACAAGTGAGCGAGCTAAACCTTAGAACGGCTCAAACCAAGCCCAGTGAAATTCTGTCAACTGGTTCAAATGCTACAACAGGAGATGCAAACACACACATGCAAATGGTGATGTCGCAAACCAAATTTATTTCCTTACGAGAGGAAAGCAGACTAAAAATGGATACAGATCTTCTTGCATACTTGCTTCTAGGATTAAATGGAAGTATGATCTCAGTCTTTGTTTCAGCAACCTTCTTACATATCTGTACGCATAAGAAGATTTTACAGTGTCACAGACCAGGAGTGCAGGTAGGCCAGCAGCAATGGCTCCGACAGTATGATGTAAGGATTCCAGTTACTTACATGAAGGCCAGAGAGACCATATGCCACAAACTTGCTTCGCTTTGTCTCCAACGCAAGCTGCAAGGCATGCAGACATTTTGCTCTCAAGTCATGTGCTGGGTCACGTAACAGGCCCTGCTGCGCCTCTAGAAAATCTGCAAGCAGAGAAGAATTCCAGTAAATTGTATGTGTCAACTACAGAAATTTGGTACAGTTTTTCTTCTTCTTCTTTTTCTTCATCATCATAAGGCTCGACAGCTTCCTATCTTGAACACTTTGGCCTGCTCAACAATTTCCTTCCAAATACTTCTGTCCTGTGTGCGAGTTGTCCAGTTATAAATTCCTAAAGCCTTTACATCTTCCCTTACGTCATATTTCCATCTGATCTTAGGTTGGCCTCTCTTTCCTTTAGCGTGTAGCTGCCCGTCATATATTCTTTTAACTGTTTGTCCAGCCTCCATCCTTGAGGTGTGTCCAAGCCAACTTATTCTTTGGGAGATTTGGTGCAGCATTAAATGAAATGTGGCAGGAACATTATAAATTATGACTGGAAAAGTTTTATAGTAGGATAGTAAATGGTAAAAACAGAGTCCCTGTGCTTAATTAATTAAGCACCATGCTATGAAGATGTATGGGGGAGTGGAGATATAGCTCCACAATTCTTGACCTCAGCACTAGATGGACATGAGTGGTCAGCTTCATGGTTCAGCCACCTTACCCCTGGCGAAAGAACGCCTGATAACCATCAGATAGGAGGCTGGGTGTGCCCTAGGGCCGGTCTGAATGCTGTGGAGTAGAGAGAAATCTCTTTCTCCTACCAAAAATCGAACCCCAGCCTTCTACCCTGTAGTCTGTAGCCTGTCACTATACCAACTGAGCTATCACAGCTCTTTTGAAGTACCATGACTTATTCTAAAGTACCATCCTGGAATGTGAATGACAAAAATGATAACAAAAAAACATCAGTCAAACTTGCCAGTCTACCAACTGATGTGCAAAACGGGCCTGAAAAATGGAAAAGAGAAACAGCGTCCATTACAATTTGGCATTTGTAACAAAAAATTAATAATTCTATCCACAAACATTTCTTTAAAATTATAAAATATATCATTATACATAAGTCATTCAGAAAGTAAAGACCATTTGGTGATTAAAAAGGAATAAATGAATATAAATAAAAAAATATTTTACATCATTACTACACATATTATATCATTTTTCTACATAATCCCCATGAAGATTCAGGCAAGTGTCCTACCCTGTGATGAATTTCTGTATGCCTGTGTATTAGAAACCTGACGCCAGTCCACTGAACCAGTCTTTAACCATCTTCACTTCATCGCTACCCATGTACGTACTTCCCAAGAACTGCTTCAAGTGTGTGAACAAATGAAAATTACTTGGAGGCAGGTCTTGACTGTAGGGAGGATGGTAAAAGGCGTCCCACACAAAGTCACAAAGTAGCACATGTGTGCTAGCGGTCTTTACTTTCCTCACAACCCTCGTTCTACCAGTCTGGACAAATCAGCAGTTAACACTGAAGACTTGTATTCAGGAGATGCTCAGTTCAAATCTTGGTTGGGATACCAACTATCACAACTGAAGGCTTTCATGTTCTCTAATTTGTGACAGAACCTCAATTCAGCATGGCTATTTCCTCTCAAATACTTTTGAATTCATTATGCACCAATTACCCTATCATCTGATGCTATATGGCCACACATACTAATAGCACTGTAAAATAAAACAACAAAGACAGACAACAAGGTGATCTAATAAGCTTACTTTCATTTTTTAAAGATAAGAAAAGTAAGCTTAAAAACTTTACATATAGCAGTTGCCCCAGGAGTGACATGGCTAGAGGCTAATCTGCCAATGAGAGCCTACTGACAAAATGTCCTTTGATTTTTGGAGCACTAATTAATTGTATTAGTAGAAAGAGTAGGAACAGAAATATAGTGGTGGTGGTGATGAATTCTGAAAGTAAATGTACAAGGCAAACAAACACCAAAGCCGAACCTGTCTACATTCTAATCGGATCCGTACTCAACAGAATCAACTTTACATAATCCTATGTGGCGGGGGAGGGACCGGGAAGGAGAAAAAGGGCGGAAATGTTCGAAATTACTAAACCTGAAGTACCAGTATATAATAAAAACATATATTGGCTAATAAAAGAAATGAACTTCAACATTTTCGTACTTCATGTACTTTACTGAAGGACTAATGGCTAATAATCATTTAAATTGAGTTCCATCTGGAATACTGATACTCCATACCATGGGCTTCCTGCGCCGACTTTCGAAGAACTGACAGCTTGGTACTGGAAGCTTCTTTAACGATTTGCAGAAGGAGATCCTCCATTTTGTTTTCAATACATGGCAATATTCACACGAAAGCACATCAATATTAATAATTTAAACATAACAGGTGTCAACATAAACTACACACATCCTCACTCAATACTGTTACCACACTTTAAAACTGAGAGTAACCAGCAGTAACCAATACCAACATCTACACCCATAGAATGTACGAGGTAAGACTATTAATGTACTATCATCACAAATTAATTAATTGAAACAATTTCGATTACTCCGCGATTCAAACTACGATCAGTCTCTTTCCCTTTGGAATTATTTTAAAATCCTCACGTGAACAAATGTATATTACACTTACAACTCCCTTCGCTACTTCTCCTGACAGATGGCAGTACGTCTCAGAGAGTAGTTCATTTCATATGTATAGATGGCAGAAGGTTGAGATCATGTCTACTACTGCCATCTAGACCACATTTGGAGACATTTTGCATTCTTGTGAGTATGCCAATGATCTGTGTAGCGGGAACTATGAAGTGTACCATCTCCTGGGATTTAACGCCTAGTCCGTTGAAAGTCAACCAACGTTTCGCAGAAACACATCGCCTCCATCTTCAGGGTCAAATAAGCCGTGCAAGAAACCAAGGATTAGAATCAACGACCCCAATGTTCCAGCAATACAGTACGTCTCTGATAACGTAATATTACATACCTGTATAAGAATAATATAATGGTAAATTCCACTGTGAAATGAGTAATTTACATCTGATATGTTCCTCCAAACTAATTTGTCACAAATAATATCCAAATGTAAACTAATTATCGAACCATAGTACAAATGCAAAAATTAAAATAAAGAACTCCGGATATTTCTTAATATAGCGGTTCTACTGATATATAAATTTGTATGTAGCCACATGTAATGTACAAAAATCTCAATAGTACTGCATTCTAGAACGAAAATTGTATACTTTCATCACTTCACGAATTCAAATATGTATGGCGCCCAAATTGGCCCTCTTCTTTACAATTATTCACTCTTCTTCTCTTCCCCATTATGTCTCCCCACCCACCCAGCATACTCCATTAAGGATTTGAGGATGTGGAAAAAACAAAGGGGAAATTATCACACCAGTTTCATTATAATTAAATTATTATTATTATTATTTGTATTGCTTTGTATCACAGATAGCTTGTAATACAAAATCAACCCTCCATTGTTGGTTCTATAATTCATATTTCAAAAATTATTCTTAAATAATAAAAATTTGTTATATTTATCACAGGTACATATTGATATCACATAACAGCTTTGATTGCTGTAAAAGTCAAAAGAGAAATATCTACGGATATTTCATAATAAAAGATTATAACAAGACTTCTTCACTGATACATTATCCTAATGCACACTGTCTAATTAAAGCTACACAAGATTATTAATGAGAGGCACTGAAGTATTATTAAATGGTCAACATTAAAACCATTGCATCACTCTGAACAAATACAGATTTGAGATCAATACACAAAACACTGATTTTCTCTTGAGAATATATGAGGTCGTATCAGAAAAGTTTCTGTTTTTAACACGTTCAATAACAAACATCACATTCTGAAAACGTTAGGGAAAACATCTGGTCCATTTCGATTATGCTACCATGTAGTCTGACAGGCGTGTAACACGTTTCAGCACAATATTTAATCTCCATCTACTCTACAAGATGAAGGCTGTATATTCGTGCTAAACGACACACGCCTACTAGTTACCTGGTAAAAGAACCCAGTGACAATATGAATTTTCCCCCTCACGGAAACCTCAACATAATTATGTTCACTTCACCCTTCCAATACATGAACTGCGTCCATTTGAGCAATATTTATAAAATTTATATATAGAAAGTTTCGGGATTGAAAAGGAAAATCTTTCAACTACATACTATTCAAACAATTAACACATTCTCAATCATTCAAACAGTTTTGCATTTCTTTCCCCTGTTAATCACCAGCTCATGACAAATCATCTGTAATTAGTTCATGCTTGGTTGTTATTAAAAAAAAAACATACGAAAGACTTTATAGTGAGACGCCCATGTTTGTAGGACTAAAATAAACCAGATTATCATGAGTGAAGACTGTACATCATTTAACCCATAATGGAAAATAATTACTACAGAGCTAAACTAAATTCACAGACCAAATCCTTCAAGATTCTTATAGGCTATAATTTTAACATTTATGAAATAAACAACAGCTAAGGCTGGAAAACAAGAGCTGCGATTACTTGTAAAGGTAAAACAATATTCGTGTTTCAAACTAATGACAGGAAATGCTGAAGAGCCATTATTTGATACCTATATTTCCGGAGGAAATGGCCTATGAATTAATTTAAGCAACAAAATAAGATAATTTATAACTGTCCATGTATGTGTTAAAAATTTCTGCAAGAAAACTGCTGCACTCTGTCGTTTCCCATCAGAACTTGATCGAAACAAAAAAATTACCACGGTCTCCAAATAGGCTCAGCCGATTCGTTCTTCAGCGCGACATCTGCCAGCTTCAGAAGGCCACCTCCGCAATCAGCACCAATGGTGGCGGTCGTTGGCGAAGTGGAATTCCTTCCACAGCTACTCGACGACGTAGAAGATGCAGGTGTAAGTGGCATGACATAATAAGAAGCAGTAGCGATGACGGAAACTGGAACTACAGCCGCACTTCCTTCACTGGAAGTGCTCAGGGGAGGCACAGGAGAACCTGGGGGTGTGTTATAGCCTGCGGTAGGGTGGGATGACAAACCCACTTGAACTGACAAGGGTGACGTCTTATCCATATCGTTGAGACGGTGACCAAGATGTGTCATCAGCTTAGTGCCCAGTTTGACGTCTACTCCAGGTGTGGCTGCTAGGCAACGGGACACCTCCGTGGCGCAGTGGGTGAAGCCAGCACGGAAACGGTCAGCGTCTGTGACCGGATTGGCGGACAGCCTCTGTTGTCGCCGCAACTTGTGTAGATGACGCACTGTCAGCTCCAGGATGTCCGCCTTCTCAAGTTTGCTGACGTTTTCACCTTCGGCTTGCAGTGCGGATACCATTAGGTCCTTCAGCTCGTCGAGACACTTGTTTATGCGGGCCCGCCTTTTGCGTTCCAGCATGGGCTTCATAACCTGAACACAAAAACGGAAAAAGCGCGTCAGAACAGTGGAACGACTCACCAAATATGAAAAAAACGACTCATTTTAAACTGAGTCTATGGGGATGACTTGAAGGGAGTACCGGTTACAAAAAATGTCGGCTGGAAAATTACTTCGACGATGCGTTTCGAAAGCATGCAGCAAATTAAAACGAAACACTATTACAGCCATTACTGTTTTGTAAAAAAATAAACATACAACAAAACAAAAAACGTAAAATATAAAAAAAACAATAACAAAATTTAATAGAAATTACCGAAGTTCTGAATTTCTTACTAATATGAGGGCTATAAAATTAATATACGTGCTCAAATTATGTTAATAAAAATAAAATACTACCAACAAAATCTCGCAACGATTAAAGCAATCTCATTCATAAGGAATGAAAAAAAAAAAACTTCCGTAAATTAACGATTCTGTAATTTGCTTTCTAAACCATAATGAACAAGGACCCCTTCCGTATCCAAAGGAACTTCTAAATACATTTAACATTAACACAAGTGCATGCTCACCTTTCTGTACTGGTATGTTCTAGAAATTGGTTGAAGTTGCTCCATATCAACAGTCATGATTGTGTCATGCAGCATCTTGATGTGAAGAAAACAGATTACACACAAAACACAGAAAAGCAAAATAAAAGTCTTTACAAAATATGACACTGCACACAAAATTTGATAGCAAAGTTCAGAACTTGGTTAGCGCTCCGCAGGTTTCGTAACACGCGACACGAGCTGTAACAGAGCTAACGGCATGCGAAGCTTCCGCAGCTAACGCCTGACGTGAAATGGTTACCGCAAGCGGGAGCCACCGCCTGTTATATAGACGAGCCAGGTGTGTGCCTGGCCCGTGGCCCACTACGATCGTGGGAAAGTGAACGAGGACCACGTTCCCACACACACACACTCCACTACATACACACCGCCACCTGTGCCAGCGAGGCGGGGAGAGGGGAGGGGGAGTTGGCGCTGCTTCGTGCAGCAGCTGTCTCTGCGCCACGCGCGCCCCTCATTGGACGACTGGACGCGCGATAGGGGGAAGGGTACAGCATCGTCATCTTCATCGGATAATTGAGGCAAAGGGGAGAAGAGAGCCATGACGAACACTTATCGTCCTGGGCGGGGGAGGGGGGGTGTCATGAAGTGGCAATGGGCAAAAAGGAAGAATACCCCAGTCTTCGCGACTTGCTACTGGAGTAACACTGATCAGAGCTGCGTTAGCCCCATGCAAGTATTCAACTCGATGCTATAAGCAAGTGGCAGGTCATGCTATGAATGAAATAAAATCCTGTAATTCAAATACTAACAGCGCAGTCGGGCTATGGGCTGAACGACGAAGAGGTCGAAGCTCAACTCCCGGTAGTGGCAAAATTTTTCTCTCTTTCACATCGTCCATACCGTTTCTGGGGCCCACACAACCTTCTACCATGGTTACCGGGGGCGTGAAGCTGATCACTCACTTCAAACTAGTGGCGAGGTCAAGAATACGTGGGTCTATACCTCGAATCCCCCATACGCCTTCAACAGCTAGTGCTTAATTAGTTAGGCACAGGAACAACTTTACCTTTTGTGTGCTGATCATTTAATGACACTGTAAATAGCTCGCACTATACAACGTCGAATTTTAGGATGATTAGTGAACAATAAAATTGGAAAGGGTATTGAAAGAATTGGTTGTGGCCTAATTTAATGTACCATCCTGGTATTTATCGGTAGAGACTGATTAATACCACAAGAAATCTCAATCAAGATAGTCCGTGATGCGGCCGAGATTCGAACTTGGCACCTCCCGAATACGAATAAGAAGCGTTACCAAGTTCCTTTGTACATGAGTGGAGATTTACCCCCAGTACCTCACTACGCCTTCATAGCATGGTACTTGAATACAAGGATATTAGTAAGCTTTTTCTATGTACTACATGGATGGATTATAGTGAATAATGAATTGGAAAGGATGTGAAAGGAGACGGTCATGACTTAATTCAAGATACTACGCTGACAATTACCTGGAGGGCCTCAGGAAAACCACAAAACTTCAATGCGGGTAATGGGTGTTCCCGTCGAGTCAGTTTACTCGGTAAAAAGCACGTAGGACAGTTCAGACTAGCCACCACGTATACACGTTTCTCGTATGATTCTACTTCACGCGTTCTTTGCGAATGAAACAAGAACACCTTAAGCTGAGGTCATATCTGTCCGTCTCTCTGTGTGCCTCAGTGGTCAGAGGTTGAAACCGAAGGCCATATTTTCTTAAAATTAGAAATGGGATATTTTCACTAAAAGTCGTCGGACAATTCCAGTTTCCAGGGGTGTTGAACCATAAAAACACGAAAAACCTGTTTTATGCGTATAATATCATAAATGGAGTTTGAAGCGTATTCTATATACCGTTTCACAAAAAAATTTACTGGGATTCCAAATGGCAGGCTTACATTAAAAACAAAACAGTCAAAACAAACTCCGTGGCCTGTAGTCCGCAAGCGAAGTATACCGACCTAGCGACAGCAGCTTGTCGGCGAAGTTAGTGCCACCTTTTGCGGATACAGAATGTCACGTGGTCAGCACAACGAATCCCCACGGCCGTTTATCTCGGTTTTCTAGACTGGAGCCGCTATATCCTTGAAATAGCTCCTGAATTATCCTCAAGAGGCTGAGTGGACCCGGTACCAGACCCACTACTTCTCAGAAAATCTGGTAGCGCCGGGAATCGAACCCGGGATCTCAGGATCTGTAGGCAGGAACTCTGACCATTAGACCACAGAGACGGTCCAGGCTTTCATTAATTTGAATTTAAATATTATAATTTTTAAACAAGTTTAAATAAATTTAAATAAGCTCAATTAGTGTACTATATTATGGAGTACTGGTAAGAAATCCTGAACGAAAGAGATAACCAGGAAGAATACCGTAATCAACTTTCGGGTTCCATAAAATACCGGATCAAGTCAAGGAGGATGAGGCGGGCAGGGCATGTAGCACGAATGGGGGAGACGAGGAATGCGTATAGGATATTGGTGGGAAAGCCAGAAGGAAAGATACCACTGGGAAGACAAGGCGTAGGTGGATGTACAATATTAGAATGGATCTTAGAGAGATAGGATGGGATGGTATGGATTGGATTGATCTGGCTCAGGATAGGGACCAGTGGAGGGCTCTTGTGAACACGGTAATGAACCTTCGGGTTCCATAGAATGCTGGGAAAGTCTTTAGTAGCTGCAGAATTGGCGGCTCCTCCAGACCATGAGTAAGTAAGTAAGCAAAATTCGGGAAATTTCTAGAGTCGCTGAGCAACTACTGGCTTCTCAAGAAAGACTCGGCTCCATGGAGTTAGTTCATTATGCGGTACACCGTTTCGATCTTTGTTTATTTCGTTCGAGTGCCGGAAATGATTGCAACAAAAACCGACCATTTTCGAGGCGTGTGTACGAGGTCACATTATGTCAGTTGTACATCACTTCCGCGATTTGGGGGTCAATCTGTGCCAACCTTCATCTGCCGCTGACTCAGACCGGTATCAATGGAATGGTTTCGTTCTCCCTTCCCCTTCCACGAACACACACTTCCTCTCACTGACTGTGGGAAAATGAGGCAGGTGGTCGAACGCTTGCCAGTTTCCTTCTGTCCCCCAGAAGTACAAATTTCTACATGATTTAAAATTCGCTGCTTCATTCCTCCAATAAGCCAGTCATTAATATGACAGTATTTAATAAACTTACCGTCTCTCTCGTTAACCAATCCATTTAACATGTACAGACGATCGGTATTATCTTACATGACTTTCTCATTTTCGTTTTTATACAGTTATATCTGTATACTTCAGTCTGAAACACCTTCTGGAATGCTAGCGCGAAAGTTAAACGCCTTTAAAATATCAGGACTCCCTTGTACTCATGATCGTGTATACTTTTTTCTTTCTTTCTCCTTCTTCTTGTTGCGTGAGTAAGAAACCAGGCAGGAGCTGTTAGAGCACGTGCTTGCTTAGCTAGCTCCTTTCTTCTTACGCTGCCCCCTATAATCGCCTGCAAACCATGCCGGCTGCTTTCCCACGGTCCAAGACTTGGCACGGCTTGCAGCCGGCATGAAGCCCGTAGGAGGGTGGCGGTGGTGGTGGAGGGGGATTGCTATGTGGAGTGTGGGGGAGCACAAATATATCCTCTAGTTTATATAGCGTGTCGCAAAACTCGAAATAGATCTCAAACTGCAACGTTCTGAAATAACTGTGAATCTAGAGTAATTAGAAGACATGGTTCTCAGTAATTGTCGAACTCAGCATTTTAAATACCAAGTTAGAGGAGGTCAGGAAATAAACGCAAGCATACACACAGAGTAGCGATTCTAGAGGGTATGTCCCCTTCTGTTTTAATTATCACGACAGCCGCAAGATGTACGCAAAAAGCGTACTGAGCACAATATAATGTGATTTACTTTTCTCTGAAATTTTTCTTCGTAATATTTTTTCCGCTCCCATAATTATTCAGCGGAGGAAATTAAGTTGAGATCTAATTTGGTCAACGCTTGATAACCATTCAGTCCAGAACCTTTTGTCTTCTCGTCTGCTGTTTAAACCTGCAAAAATTAGAATAAACAATATTATAATTTTGCCTGTGATCCTGTATGGGTGTGAAATTTGGTCTCTGACGTTAAGCGAACTATACCGCCGCTTCTCGAAGAAGTTAGTGCAACGGAGGAACATATCTTCTGGGACTCCAACTGTAAGAGGACCAACGGGCAACAGTGATGGTCATTTTAGTAAAGGTATCCCTGTAACAGGCCTTGGAGGCCCATGGGGTTGTGAGATGTTGAGGTTCCCACATTTTCTAGACAATCAGCTCATAGATGGCGGTAATGTTGTCAACCCTACGCGCCGGCCGCCCTTTACCCTCAAGAATATTCCAAGAATATTCCTGGTACTCATTTCTGTTAGAGGCTGAGTCAAACCCAGGCCTATAGTGCGGCTTAGAATTAGGTAAATCCAATGTCCTCATCGGAATTCGATCCCGCGACCTTCCGACTTGTAGCACAGTGCCTCAACCAACTACGCTACCGCGTGCCCCCAACAACATTCCTATATTTACATAAAATAGACTTACTCATGGAGCTGAGCCCTTCTGGAGGAGCCGCCAATTCTGCAGCTACTCAAGAATTTCCCAGCATTTTATTGCACCCGAAGGTCCATTACCGTGTTCACAATAGCCCTCCACTGGTCCCTATCCTGAGCCAGATCAATCCAATCCATACCATTCCATCCTATCTCTCTAAGATCCATTTTAATATTGTCCATCCACCTACGCCTTGAATATAAAACAGATATGTAAGAAAACTAAGAGAAGTAATTGTACTGATTATTAACAGGATACTCTCAGATTTATGTTAAGATCTGTATTAAGAAACGCGGGGTGACCGCTATTACAGAATGAGATGTTTATAAGAACGTGCTACAGAAGGCCGGGTGGGCATTGCCTAGGCCTCTTTGGTATTTACAATATTTTTCCTACAAAAAAATCCCCACAGCAGTTAATTTTGGTTTTCTAGACCGGGCTCTAAGCCACATTCTCACTTAAATAAATGAATAAATATAGAAGCTTAGAAAGAGATGTTAACACGCGAATTTCTTGTCCACAGTCTTTTGTGCCTCTCTTCTCCTGTTACTTCTGGTTCCTTCCCTTCGAGTCTCGTTCTTCTCTTCTTACGCAAACAAGAAGTTCATCCGTAAAGCGAAGAACAATTTTCTTGTTCATATTCCTTTCACCCATTTGCTCAGGGCCGGAATCACAGTAGTGGGGGGGGCAATTTCAGGAACAACAAATTTGGGTTATGAAAATTTTTTTTTATATTATTATTCCTTGTGGGGACACGCGGTAGCCTAGTTGGTTGAGGCACTATGCTACAAGC